TGTATATTTGTGTCTGTGTATGTGTATGGGGGAGCGGTAGTGTAGTAGTGGTTAGCGCTACGCTGCACTATGAACCTGGCGACCCGGGTTCGATTCCCGCTCACGGCCAACACCACCAGTGACGATTATCTGAACCGGTCCCGGGCCTCCCCTATGTCGACTCAGCCTCAAATGAGTACCCAATGCAGTGTGTAAACATTGCCACTGGGGAGACAAAGGCGGTCGGGCGTGGTGCTGGCCACCCACCCCCTCGTGTACCATTACGGCCTTGATAGGTGCTCGCTAACAGCACTTGCCCCTACAGTCTGTTAAGGCTATATGGGGGATCTTTGTCTTTGTGTGTATGTGTGTGTATGTGTGTGTATGTGTGTATGTGTGGGTGTGTTTGAGTGTGTATGTAACTGTGTATATGTCTGTGTGTGTGTTTGTGTGTGTTTGTGTGTGTGTATATGTGTGTATGTGTGTGTATGTGTGTGTATGTGTGTATGTAACTGTGTATATGTCTGTGTGTATGTCTCTGTGTGTGTGTTTGTGTGTGTATGTGTGTGTGTGTGATTGTGTGTGTATGTTTGTGTGTGTGTGTATGTGTGTGTGTATGTGTGTGTGTATGGGTGTGTGATTGTGTGTTTGTGTGTGTGTGTGTTTGTGTGTGTGTCATTGTGTGTAAAACAACCCACGACCTCCTCGCGGTGCCGGACGGGCAACTCTGTCGTGGACAATGCTGTGGGGGGAGATCCAATTTTGATTGGCTCCTCCCCTCATGGCGTCTGTGACCACCACAGGGGCTAAACGGGGGCTCTGGACGGGTGCGAGGGGCTGGTAACCCCTCCACCTTCAATTAATTACCACTAAACCACGAGTTAAACTGAATTATGTAACTAATAAGCTTGTGCCGGAGGCCCCGGGGGGCCAGGCGTCTATGACGTCTCCTGGCCAAACCCCAATTGGCGGAGCCAGGAGATTGAATCTCTACCCTCGGGGCTCCTCCAGAAACAACGAAAAGCCACTTCGTGTGGCCACGTGGAATGTTCGAACGCTCACTGCGGAGGAGAGGCTGCCACTCCTCTGTCGGGAGCTGGACCGGTACCGCCTGGATCTCTGCGGCATTCAGGAGGTCCGGTGGACCGGCTCTGGCTCCTGCCACCATGAGGGGTGGACAGTCCTCTACTCGGGGCAGCAGACGGCCAAACAACAGGGTGTGGCTCTTCTTCTGAACAAAAGAATGAAGGGGGCGTGGGAGCGTGGCGGTGAGGTGTGGGAAGCTGTAAGCCCCAGGTTACTTTGGGCTCGCCTTCCCATCAACCAGAGGCGAGGAGTGGTGGTCGTGGTTACTTATGCCCCCACCGAAGACGAACATCCGTGGAGGGATGCAGGCAAAGCCGATGAGTCAGATGCCTTCTATGACCTCCTGTCACAGGTGCTGGCTAAAGTGGCCCCTCGGGATAGAGTCATCATGTTGGGTGATTTTAATGCCCGAGTTGGTCATGATGCTGGCACCTGGTCTGGAGTGATTTGAAGTTGGCCAGATCAGCTCAATAACAACGGTAGGAGGCTGCTAGATTTTTGTGCAGCCCATGGGCTTGTAATTACCAACACGCTGTTCCGGCATCGGCGCATCCACACAACATCATGGATGCATGCCGGGTCCAAGCAAGAACATCTGCTGGACTACATAGTGACGGACCAGCGAATGCGAGCCCATGTCCTTGACACCAGGACCTACCATGAAGCTGATCTGTCCCTCTGGCCATCGACTTGTCATCTTTAAAATGCACCTGCCATTCTTCCACTCCGGTGGTGGGTGTACACCCAGGACCCCATTCAAACCTAAGGTGGCCTGGTCTCAGCTAGCTGATGAAAGTTGCAAGCGAGAATTTCATCATCGCTTGCGGCTGGGATTGGCATCGTCCCCGACTCCTCCTGATGTCGAGGGTAAATGGGCGAGGTATAGGACTGTGACTCAGGCAGCTGCAATGGCTGCTTTGGGTACGCAGTCCAGACCTCCCCAGACACCCTGGATGACAGAGGAGTTGTTCACGATGGCTGAGAAAAAGCGACAGGCCCACTGTTATCGGCTACAGAATCCCACGTCAGAGAATGAGGAGGCTTACCGCAGCCTTCGTTCGGAGGTTCGGAGAGCCGTGAGGCGCTGCAAGGATGGGTGGTGGTCGCGGGTTGCTGAGGAGATGGAGTCTGCCTCAGTGGCCCGTGATCACAAATCTCTATTTAACTCCATCAAAAAAGTAACCTGCAGCGCCACACCTATTACCATCATTCGGGGGGAAAACGGTGATCCAATCTCCGACCCCCAGGAACAGGTTTGCAGATTTGCTGAGCATTTCTGTGAGGTCCTGGGGGAGGGGAAATCTCTCAGCCAGGAAAACATCGTGGCACAAAGTGGAGATGACCCTGCTGTGGCTGCAGTGCCTCAAATATTGGAAGTCACCCCCTGTGAGTGGCTGGCTGAGGTGCCATCCGTTGAGGAAGTACTGAAGGCGATCCGGAGTCTGAGACCAGGAAAGGCAGCGGGCAGAGATGATCTCCCAAGCGAAATGCTGAGGGAGGGTGGCGTTTGTGCACAGACTGCCCTATATGATATCATAACAACAGTCTGGACCACTGGACGGGTTCCGCAGGATTGGAAGGATGCCCTGGTGGTCCCCCTCTTTAAGAAGGGGGACCGCACAGACTGTAACAACTACAGGGGCATCTCACTCCTCCGTGTGCCGGGAAAGGTCCTGGCAAGGATTATTCAACATCGCCTTGCCAGGCACGCTGAGGAGAGGCTTGCGGAGCCCCAATGCGGTTTCAGGAAAGGGCGGTCCTGCACAGATGCCATATTTTCTGTCCGTCTGCTACAGCAGAGGTGTAGGAAATTCCAACAAGACCTACATCTCTGCTTCATTGACGTGGTCAAGGCCTATGATACCATCAGTAGGCCTGGGCTCTGGGTTGTTCTTCGTGCTTTTGGAGTACCTGACCCTCTGCTGACGATCATTAAGGAAGTTCATGATGGTGAGCGGGCCCGGGTAAAACTACGTGGCCGGGAATCAGAGCCATTCCCTGTTAACCTTGGGGTGCGACAGGGATGTCCTCTGGCTCCCACATTATTTAACATCTATTTCGACCACGTAGTTCGTGAAGCCTTCAATAGCTGTACCGGAGGAATCTCCATATGGTACAGATATAATGGGAGGCTAATCGATGCCCGGGTGCGGTCACGGGATGGCTCCCTATTGCTCAACCACGTTATGTATGCTGATGATTTGGTAATAGCTGCTCATTCAGAGGAGGAGTTGGAGACGCTGCTTCTGAGACTGGAGCGTGCCACTAAGAGATGGGGCCTTACCATCAGCCCCACCAAAACTAAGTACCTGCCTGGGTATTTTGTACCATCGGACACTCCACCCCCACAACTCCCAATCGGTGATGGGGCAGTTGTGGAGAGAGTGGAGAGTTTCCCATACCTGGGCAGTATGCTTATAACCGGCTCCAGTTTAACAGCAGAGGTCTCACTCCGAATCAGTCGAGCGGCAATATCTTTTCATCGGTTGTGTAACACTGTGTGGAAGCTACCTGGTCTGTCGCTCCGCACTAAGCTTCAGGTCTTCTCGGCCATGGTCATTCCCTCCCTTCTCTATGCTTGCGAAACGTGGACCCCCCTAATGGAACATCTTCGCCGGTTAGAAACATTTAGGCTGGCCTGCCTACGATCCATCCTGGGTTTAACCAGACTGGATTGTGTGAGGAGCTCACAAATCCTTGAAAGATCTGGGCAAGGTCCCATCGGTGAGCGCCTCCGGCGGGCAAGGCTGCGATGGCTGGGTCATGTAGCCCGCATGCCCAGCCACCGCATGCCGAAACAGCTTTTGTTTGGCCGGATCGAGGGGGCTAAACGGGCGCGGCACGGGCTAGAGAAGAGATGGAGTGATGTGGTACAGGAGGACGTGGAGCTGAGTGGACTTGCCGATGACTGGTACCAGCGGTGTCAAGATCGGCCTCTGTGGAGGAGGCTCGTGAAGGATGCTACTGGGCAGTTGGAGGCAGTCGCCCTCCAACAACAACGGAGGGCGGAGGAGCGACGCTCACAACAGCGAGCGGAGCGCCGGGTGGCTAAAGCACAGCAGGTTGGCACAGTAGGGGGCACAGGTGGTGCATCAGCCAGTCATCTCAGTCAGTCGACCCGTGGCACCTGCTGGGTCTGCCCCGTGACCTCCTGCCAGCGGGCGTTCGACACTTCACATGTCCTCAAGGTGCACATAGCCTGGCACAAGCGTCGTGGTGACGTCACCGCCACTTAGTGGCGAATGGCGGTTGTTGTTGTTGTGTGTGTGTGTCTGTGTGTGTGTGTCTGTGTGTGTGTCTCTGTGTGTGTGTCTGTGTGTGTCTGTGAGTGTGTCTGTGAGGTGCTCGCTAACAGCACTTACCCCTACAGTCTGTTAAGGCTATATGGGGGATCTTTGATCTTTGTCTGTGTGTGTGTCTGTGTGTGTGTGTCACTGTATGTGTCTGTGTGTCTGTGTATGTGTGTGTCACTGTGTGTGTCTGTGTGTGTGTCTGTGTGTTGGGTATTTAAGTCGTTGCCAAATTTGGACAGCGAGGAGAGAGGCGCCACTTGGCCAGCTAACAATAGACACACACACAGACACACACACACACACAGTTACACACACAGTAACACACACACACACAGACACACATACACACAGTGACACACATCCCCTATCCCTCCCGCCCTAATTCCACTCCCTCTCTTTAGCTCTGTCTCTGTGTCTCTCTCTCTGTCTCTCTGTGTCTCTCTCGCTGTGTCTCTCTCGCTGTGTCTCTCTCTGTGTCTCTCTCTCTCTGTCTCTCTCGCTGTGTCTCTCTCGCTGTGTCTCTCTCGCTGTGTCTCTCTCTGTGTCTCTCTCTGTGTCTCTCTGTGTCTCTGTCTCTCTGTCTCCTCTCTCTCTGTCTCTCTGTGTCTCTCTCTGTGTCTCTCTCTGTGTCTCTCTCGCTGTGTCTCTGTCTCTCTCTCTCTCTGTGTCTCTCTCTGTCTCCTCTCTCTGTCTCCTCTCTGTGTCTCCCTGTCTCTCTCTCTCGTCCTCTCCACGTTACTATGGCCGGGTCCAGGCGACCCGGCGATCAGAACGCTGCGTTTGATGAAGTGATGCTGATGATGGTGGTGATGGTGATGGACATCTTGAAACATTGATGTAGGTAAGTTATTGGGGATGGTGGTGGAAGTGGAGGTGGTAGTGATGGTGGTGATGGTGGTCATGGTGGTGGTGATGGTGATCATGGTGGTGGTGATGGTGATCATGGTGGTGGTGATGGTGGTGATGGTGGTGATGGTGTTGGTGGTGATGGTGGTCATGGTGGTGGTGATGGTGATCATGGTGGTGGTGATGGTGATCATGGTGGTAGTGATGGTGGTGATGGTGGTGGTGATGGTGGTGATGGTGGTGATGGTGTTGGTGGTGATGGTGGTCATGGTGGTGGTGGTGGTGGTGGTGATGGTGGTGATGGTGTTGGTGGTGATGGTGATCATGGTGGTAGTGATGGTGGTGATGGTGATGGTGGTGATGGTGGTGGTGGTGTTGGTGGTGATGGTGTTGGTGGTGATGGTGGTGGTGATGGTGGTGATGGTGAAGGTGGTGGTGATGGTGGTGGTGGTGGAAGTGGAGGTGGTGGTGATGATGGTGGTGATGATGGTGGTGATGGTGATGGTGGTGGTGATGGTGGTGATGGTGAAGGTGGTGGTGATGGTGGTGGTGGTGAAGGTGGTGATGGTGGTGATGGTGGTGGGGATGGTGGTGATGGTGGTGGTGATGGTGATGGTGATGATGGTGGTGGTGATGGTGGTGTTGGTGGTGATGGTGGTGGTGATGGTGGTGGTGGTGATGGTGGTGATGGTGATGGTGGTGATGGAGGTGATGGTGATGGTGATGATGGTGGTGGTGATGGTGGTGATGGTGTTGGTGGTGATGGTGGTGGTGATGGTGGTGGTGGTGTTGGTGGTGATGGTGTTGGTGGTGATGGTGGTGGTGATGGTGGTGATGGTGGTGGTGATGGTGGTGATGGTGAAGGTGGTGATGGTGAAGGTGGTGGTGATGGTGGTGGTGGTGATGGTGGTGGTGATGGTGAAGGTGGTGATGGTGATGGTGGTGGAAGTGGAGGTGGTAGTGAATGGTGAACATCTGGAAACAATTATGTAAGGATATTGGTCCGGTGGAGTGTGTGTGTGTGTGTCTGTGTGTGTGTTTGTCTGTGTGTGTCTATGTGTGTTTGTCTGTGTGTGTGTGTCTGTGTGTGTGTGTCTGTGTGTGTGTGTCTGTGTTTGTCTGTGTGTTTGTCTGTGTGTGTGTTTGTCTGTGTGTCTGTGTGTGTGTGTGTCTGTGTGTGTGTTTGTCTGTGTGTGTCTGTGTGTGTGTGTTTGTCTGTGTGTGTCTGCGTGCGTGTGTGTATCTGTGTGTTCGTGTCTGTGTGTGTGTCTGTGTGTCTGTGTGTGTGTCTACACTACACTATACACTACACTATACACTACTACACTACACACTACTACACTATACACTACTACACTATACACTACTACACTATACACTACACTATACACTACTATACTACACTATACACTACTACTACACTATATACTACTACACTACACACTACTACACTACACTATACACTATACACTACACTATACACTACTACACTATACACTACTACACTACACTATACACTACTACACTATACTATACACTACTACACTACACTATACACTACTACACTATACACTACTACACTATACACCACTACACTATACACTATACACTACACACTACTACACTATACACTACTACACTACACTATACACTACTACAGTGTCTCTGTGTGTTAGTGGCTATGGGTGACTGGGCCTCCCTGGGCAAGGCGCTGGATCTTGTCCACGAACACTCTACACTACACTATACACTACTACACTATACACTACTACACTATACACTACTACACTATACACTACTACACTATACACTACTACACTATACACTCTACACTACACTATACACTACTACACTACTACACTATACACTACACTATACACTACTACACTATACACTACTACACTATACACTACTACACTATACACTACTACACTATACACTACTACACTCTACACTACACTATACACTACTACACTACTACACTGAGTGTCTCTGTGTGTTAGTGGCTATGGGTGACTGGGCCTCTCTGGGCAAGGCGCTGGATCTTGTCCACGAACACTATACACTACACTATACACTACTACACTACACTATACACTACACTATACACTTCTACACTACTACACTACACTATACACTACAACACTATACACTACTACACTATACACTCTACACTACACTATACACTACACTATACACTACTACACTATACACTACTACACTATACACTACACTATACACTACTACACTATACACTACTACACTATACACTACTACACTATACACTACTACACTACACTATACACTACACTATACACTACTACACTACTACACTACACTATACACTACTACACTATACACTACTACACTATACACTACTACACTATACACTACTACACTACTACACTACACTATACACTACTACAGTGTCTCTGTGTGTTAGTGGCTATGGGTGACTGGGCCTCCCTGGGCAAGGCGCTGGATCTTGTCCACGAGCAGTCTACACTACACTATACACTACAACACTATACACTACTCCACTATACACTACTACACTACACTATACACTACACTACTACACTACACACTACTACACTACACTATACACTACACTATACACTACTACACTATACACTACTACACTACACTATACACTACTACACTACTACACTACACTATACACTACTACAGTGTCTCTGTGTGTTAGTGGCTATGGGTGACTGGGCCTCTCTGGGCAAGGCGCTGGATCTTGTCCACGAACACTCTACACTACTACACTACACTATACACTACACTATACACTACTACACTACACTATACACTACTACACTATACACTACTACACTACACTATACACTACTACACTGAGTGTCTGTGTGTTAGTGGCTATGGGTGACTGGGCCTCTCTGGGCAAGGCGCTGGATCTTGTCCACGAACACTCTACACTACTACACTACACTATACACTACACTATACACTACTACACTACACTATACACTACTACACTATACACTACTACACTACACTATACACTACTACACTGAGTGTCTGTGTGTTAGTGGCTATGGGTGACTGGGCCTCCCTGGGCAAGGCGCTGGATCTTGTCCACGAACACTCCACACTACACTATACACTACTACACTACTACACTACACTATACACTACTACACTATACACTACTACACTACTACACTACACTATACACTACTACAGTGTCTCTGTGTGTTAGTGGCTATGGGTGACTGGGCCTCCCTGGGCAAGGCACTGGATCTTGTCCACGAACACTCCACACTACTACACTATACACTACTACACTACACTATACACTACTACACTACACTACTACACTATACACTACTACACTACTACACTACACTATACACTACTACAGTGTCTCTGTGTGTTAGTGGCTATGGGTGACTGGGCCTCCCTGGGCAAGGCGCTGGATCTTGTCCACGAACACTCTACACTACTACACTACACTATACACTACACTATACACTACTACTACACTACACTATACACTACTACAGTGTCTCTGTGTGTTAGTGGCTATGGGTGACTGGGCCTCTCTGGGCAAGGCGCTGGATCTTGTCCACGAACACTCTACACTACACTATACACTACTACACTACACTATACACTATACACTACACTATACACTACTACACTATACACTACTACACTACACTATACACTACACTATACACTATACACTACACTATACACTACTACACTATACACTACTACACTATACACTACTACACTACACTATACACTACTACACTATACACTACTACACTACACTATACACTACTACAGTGTCTCTGTGTGTTAGTGGCTATGGGTGACTGGGCCTCCCTGGGCAAGGCGCTGGATCTTGTCCACGAACACTCTACACTACACTATACACTACTACACTACACTATACACTACTACACTACTACACTACACTATACACTACTACACTACACTATACACTACTACTACACTGAGTGTCTCTGTGTGTTAGTGGCTATGGGTGACTGGGCCTCCCTGGGCAAGGCGCTGGATCTTGTCCACGAACACTCTACACTACACTATACACTACTACACTATACACTACACTATACACTACTACACTATACACTACTACACTATACACTACATACTATACACTACTACACTACAAACTCTACACTACACTATACACTACTACACTATACACTACTACACTACACACTACTACACTACACTATACACTACTACACTATACACTACACTACTACACTACACTATACACTACTACACTATACACTACACTACTACACTACTACACTACACTATACACTACTACACTATACACTACTACACTATACACTACTACACTATACACTACTACACTATACACTACACTATACACTACTACACTATACACTCTACACTATACACTACTACACTATACACTACACTATACACTACTACACTACACTATACACTACCACAGTGTCTCTGTGTGTTAGTGGCTATGGGTGACTGGGCCTCTCTGGGCAAGGCGCTGGATCTTGTCCACGAACACTCTACACTACACTATACACTACTACACTATACACTATACACTACACTATACACTACTACACTATACACTACTACACTACACTATACACTACTACACTACACTACTACACTATACACTACTACACTATACACTACTACACTACACTATACACTATACACTACTACACTATACACTACTACACTATACACCACTACACTATACACTACACACTACTACACTATACACTACTACACTACACTATACACTACTACAGTGTCTCTGTGTGTTAGTGGCTATGGGTGACTGGGCCTCCCTGGGCAAGGCGCTGGATCTTGTCCACGAACACTCTACACTACACTATACACTACTACACTATACACTATACACTACACTATACACTACTACACTATACACTACTACACTATACACTACTACACTATACACTACTACACTATACACTACTACACTACACTATACACTACTACAGTGTCTCTGTGTGTTAGTGGCTATGGGTGACTGGGCCTCCCTGGGCAAGGCGCTGGATCTTGTCCACGAACACTCTACACTACACTATACACTACTACACTATACACTACTACACTATACACTACTACACTATACACTACTACACTATACACTACTACACTATACACTACTACACTATACACTACTACACTACACTATACACTACTACAGTGTCTCTGTGTGTTAGTGGCTATGGGTGACTGGGCCTCTCTGGGCAAGGCACTGGATCTTGTCCACGAACACTCTACACTACACTATACACTACTACACTATACACTACTACACTATACACTACTACACTATACACTACTACACTATACACTACTACACTATACACTACTACACTACACTACTACACTATACACTACTACACTATACACTACTACACTACACTATACACTATACACTACTACACTATACACTACTACACTATACACCACTACACTATACACTATACACTACACACTACTACACTATACACTACTACACTACACTATACACTACTACAGTGTCTCTGTGTGTTAGTGGCTATGGGTGACTGGGCCTCCCTGGGCAAGGCGCTGGATCTTGTCCACGAACACTCTACACTACACTATACACTACTACACTATACACTATACACTACACTATACACTACTACACTATACACTACTACACTATACACTACTACACTATACACTACTACACTATACACTACTACACTACACTATACACTACTACAGTGTCTCTGTGTGTTAGTGGCTATGGGTGACTGGGCCTCCCTGGGCAAGGCGCTGGATCTTGTCCACGAACACTCTACACTACACTATACACTACTACACTATACACTATACACTACACTATACACTACTACACTATACACTACTACACTATACACTACTACACTATACACTACTACACTATACACTACTACACTACACTATACACTACTACAGTGTCTCTGTGTGTTAGTGGCTATGGGTGACTGGGCCTCTCTGGGCAAGGCACTGGATCTTGTCCACGAACACTCTACACTACACTATACACTACTACACTATACACTACTACACTATACACTACTACACTATACACTACTACACTATACACTACTACACTATACACTACTACTACACTGAGTGTCTGTGTGTTAGTGGCTATGGGTGACTGGGCCTCCCTGGGCAAGGCGCTGGATCTTGTCCACGAACACTCTACACTACACTATACACTACTACACTACTACACTACACTATACACTACTACACTATACACTACTACACTACACTATACACTATACACTACTACACTACACTATACACTACTACAGTGTCTCTGTGTGTCAGTGGCTATGGGTGACTGGGCCTCCCTGGGCAAGGCGCTGGATCTTGTCCACGAACACTCCACACTACTACACTACACTATACACTACACTATACACTACTACACTACACTATACACTACTACACTACACTATACACTACTACACTACACTATACACTACTACAGTGTCTCTGTGTGTTAGTGGCTATGGGTGACTGGGCCTCCCTGGGCAAGGCGCTGGATCTTGTCCACGAACACTCTACACTACACTATACACTACTACACTATACACTACACTATACACTACTACACTACACTATACACTACTACAGTGTCTCTGTGTGTTAGTGGCTATGGGTGACTGGGCCTCCCTGGGCAAGGCGCTGGATCTTGTCCACGAACACTCTACACTACACTATACACTACTACACTACACTATACACTACTACACTACACTATACACTACTACACTACTACACTACACTATACACTACTACACTACACTATACACTACTACACTACACTATACACTACACTATACACTACTACACTACACTATACACTACTACACTATACACTACTACACTATACACTACTACACTATACACTACTACACTACACTATACACTACTACACTATACACTACACTATACACTACTACACTACACTATACACTACTACAGTGTCCCTGTGTGTTAGTGGCTATGGGTGACTGGGCCTCCCTGGGCAAGGCACTGGATCTTGTCCACGAACACTCTACACTACACTATACACTACTACACTATACACTACACTATACACTACTACACTACACTATACACTACTACAGTGTCCCTGTGTGTTAGTGGCTATGGGTGACTGGGCCTCCCTGGGCAAGGCGCTGGATCTTGTCCACGAACACTCTACACTACACTATACACTACTACACTATACACTACACTATACACTACTACACTATACACTACTACACTATACACTACTACACTACTACACTACACTATACACTACTACTACACTACACTATACACTACTACACTATACACTACACTATACACTACTACACTACACTATACACTACTACACTATACACTACTACACTATACACTACTACACTACACTATACACTACTACAGTGTCTCTGTGTGTTAGTGGCTATGGGTGACTGGGCCTCTCTGGGCAAGGCGCTGGATCTTGTCCACGAACACTACTACACTACACTATACACTACACTATACACTACTACACTATACACTACTACACTATACACTACTACACTATACACTACTACACTATACACTACACACTATACACTACTACACTATACACTACTACACTATACACTACTACACTATACACTACTACACTATACACTACTACACTACACTATACACTATACACTACTACACTATACACTACTACACTATACACTACTACACTACACTATACACTACACTATACACTACTACACTATACACTACACTATATACTACTACACTATACACTACTACACTATACACTACACACTATACACTACTACACTATACACTACTACACTATACACTCCTACACTATACACTACTACACTATACACTACTACACTATACACTACTACACTATTCACTACTACACTATACACTACACTATACACTACTACACTATACACTACTACACTATACACTACTACACTATACACTACTACACTATACACTACTACACTACACTATACACTACTACAGTGTCTCTGTGTGTTAGTGGCTATGGGTGACTGGGCCTCCCTGGGCAAGGCGCTGGATCTTGTCCACGAACACTACTACACTACACTATACACTACTACACTACACTATACACTACTACACTACACTATACACTACTACACTATACTATACACTACTACACTATACACTACTACACTATACACTACTACACTATACACTACTACACTATACACTACTACACTATACACTACTACACTATACACTACTACAGTGTCTCTGTGTGTTAGTGGCTATGGGTGACTGGGCCTCCCTGGGCAAGGCGCTGGATCTTGTCCACGAACACTCCACCGCTGTCGGCCAAGTTTGGTTGCCACTCCTGTTCGTCTTCCGTGTGCTCATCCTTGGGGCGGCCGCCGAGAGTGTGTGGAGTGACGAGCAGGTGGACTACAGGTTAGTCACTCAGTCAGTCACTCAGTTAGTCAGTCAGTCAGTCAGTTAGTCAGTCAGTCACTCAGTCAGTCAGTCAGTTAGTCAGTTAGTTAATCAGTTAGTCAGTCAGTCGGTTAGTCAGTTAGTCACTCAGTCAGGTGGTTAGTCACTCAGTCAGGTGGTTAGTCACTCAGTCAGGTGGTTAGTCACTCAGTCAGGTGGTTAGTCACTCAGTCAGGTGGTTAGTCACTCAGTCAGTCGCCTAGTCAGTCAGTCAGTCAGTCAGTTAGTTAGTCAGTTAGTCAGTTAGTTAGTCAGTTAGTCAGTCAGTCAGTCGCCTAGTCAGTCAGTTAGTCAGTTAGTTAGTCAGTCAGTCAGTTAGTTAGTTAGTCAGTTAGTTAGTCAGTCGGTCAGTCAGTTAGTCAGTCAGTTAGTTAGTTAGTTAGTCAGTTAGTTAGTCAGTCAGTCAGTCAGTCAGTCAGTCAGTCAGTTAGTTAGTTAGTCAGTCAGTTAGTCAGTTAGTCAGTCAGTTAGTCGCCTAGTCAGTCAGTTAGTCAGTTAGTCAGTCAGTCGGTTAGTCAGTTAGTCAGTCAGTCAGTCAGTCAGTTAGTAGGTTAGTTAGTCAGTCAGTCGGTTAGTCAGTTAGTTAGTCAGTCAGTCAGTCTCCTAGTCAGTTAGTCAGTTAGTCAGTTAGTTAGTCAGTCAGTCGGTTAGTGAGTCAGTCAGTCGCCTAGTCAGTTAGTCAGTCAGTCAGTCAGTCACTTAGTGAGTCAGTCAGTCAGTCGCCTAGTCAGTTAGTCAGTCAGTCAGTTAGTCAGTCAGTCAGTTAATCAGTTAGTCAGTCAGTCAGTCAGTCGCCTAGTCAGTCAGGTGGTTAGTCAGTCAGGTGGTTAGTCAGTCAGTCGGTTAGTCAGTCAGTCAGTCGCGTAGTCAGTCAGTCGCCTAGTCAGTCAGTCGCCTAGTCAGTCAGTCAGTCGCCTAGTCAGTCAGTCGCCTAGTCAGTCAGTCGCCTAGTCAGTCAGTCGGTTAGTCAGTCAGTTAGTCAGTCGCCTAGTCAGTCACTTAGTGAGTCAGTCGCCTAGTCAGTCAGTCAGTTAGTAAGTCAGTCAATCGGTTAGTCAGTCAGTTAGTCGCCTACTCAGTCAGTCAGTCGGTTAGTCAGTCACTTAGTGAGTCAGTCAGTCACTTAGTCAGTCAGTCAGTCAGTCGCCTAGTCAGTCAGTCAGTTAGTCAGTCACTTAGTGAGTCAGTCAGTCAGTTAGTCAGTCAGTCGCCTAGTCAGTCAGTCAGTCAGTCGCCTAGTCAGTCAGTCAGTCGCCTAATCAGTCAGTCGGTTAGTTAGTCAGTCGGTTAGTCAGTCAGGTGGTTAGTCAGTCAGTCGCTTAGTGAGTCAGTCAGTCGGTTAGTCAGTAGGTTAGTCAGTCGCTTAGTCAGTCAGTCACCTAGTCAGTCAGTCGCCTAGTCAGTCACTTAGTGAGTCAGTCAGTCGGTTAGTCAGTAGGTTAGTCAGTCGCTTAGTCAGTCAGTCACCTAGTCAGTCAGTCGCCTAGTCAGTCACTTAGTGAGTAATTCAGTCGGTTAGTCAGTAGGTTAGTCAGTCGCTTAGTCAGTCAGTCACCTAGTCAGTCAGTCGCCTAGTCAGTCACTTAGTGAGTCAGTCAGTCGGTTAGTCAGTAGGTTAGTCAGTCGCTTAGTCAGGCAGTCACCTATTCAGTCAGTCACTTAGTCAGTCAGTAGGTTAGTCAGTCAGTCGCCTAGTCAGTCAGTCAGTTAGTCAGTCAGTCAGTCGGTTAGTCAGTCGCCTACTCAGTCAGTCACTTAATCAGTCAGCAGGTTAGTCAGTCAGTCGCCTAGTCAGTCAGTCAGTTAGTCAATCAGTCGGTTAGTCAGTCAGTCGGTTAGTCAGTCAGTCGGTTAGTCAGTCAGTCGCCTAGTCAGTCAGTCACTTAGTCAGTCAGTCAGTCGCCTAGTCAGTCAATCGCCTAGTCAGGCAGTCACTTAGTCAGTCAGTAGGTTAGTCAGTCAGTCGCCTAGTCAGTCAGTCAGATAGTTAGTCAGTCAGTCGGTTAGTCAGTCACTTAGAGAGTCAGTCAGTCAGTTAGTCGGTCAGTCAGTCAGTCGGTTAGTCAGTCGGTTAGTCAGTCAGTCGATTAGTCAGTCAGTAGGTTAGTCAGTCAGTCGCCTAGTCAGTCAGTCAGTTAGTCAGTCAGTCGGTTAGTAGGTTAATCAGTCGCCTAGTCAGTCACTTAGTGAGTCAGTCAGTAGCTTAGTCAGTCGGTTAGTCAGTCAGTCGGTTAGTAGGTTAGTCAGTAGGTTAGTGATTCAGTCAGTCGCTTAGTCAGTCACTTAGTGAGTCAGTCAGTCGGTTAGTCAGTCAGTTAGTCAGTCAGTCGGTTAGTCAGTCGGTTAGTCAGTCGGTTAGTCAGTCGGATAGTCAGTAGGTTAGTCAGTCGGTTAGTAGGTTAGTCAGTCAGTCGGTTAGTCAGTCGGATAGTCAGTTGGATAGTCAGTAGGTTAGTCAGTCGGTTAGTAGGTTAGTCAGTCAGTCGGTTAGTCAGTCGGATAGTCAGTCGGATAGTTAGTAGGTTAGTCAGTCGGTTAGTAGGTTAGTCAGTCAGTCGGTTAGTCAGTCGGATAGTCAGTCAGTCACTTAGTCAGTCGGTTAGTCAGTCACTTAGTGAGCCAGTCAGTTAGTCAGTTAGTTAGTCAGTAGGTTAGACAGTAGGTTAGTCAGTCAGTTAGTCAATCGCTTAGTCAATCAGTCGCTTAGTCAGTCGGCTAGTCAGTCAGTCGGTTAGTCAGTAGGTTAGTCGCTTAGTCAGTCGCTTGGTTAGTCAGTTGTTTAGTAAGTCAGTCAGTCGCTTAGTAAGTAGGTTAGTCAGTCGCTTAGTCAGTCAGTCAGTCGCTTAGTCAGTCAGTCAGTAGGTTAGTCAGTCAGTCGTTTAGTCAGTCGCTTAGTCAGTCAGTCGTTTAGTCAGTCGCTTAGTCAGTCAGTCGGTTAGTCAGTAGCTTAGTCATTCAGTCGGTTAGTCAGTCGCTTAGTTAGTCGGTTAGTCAGTTGCTTAGTCAGTCGGTTAGTCAGTCGCTTAGTCAGTCGGTTAGTCAGTCGCTTAGTCAGTCGGTTAGTCAGTCGCTTAGTCAATCAGTCGGTCGGTTAGTCAATCAGTTAGTCAGTCGCTTAGTCAGTCGCTTAGTCAGTCAGTCAGTCTGTCAGTCGCTTAGTTATTTGCTTAGTCAGTCAGTCAGTAGGTTAGTCAGTCGCTTAGTTGGTTAGTCAGTCGCTTAGTCAGTCGCTTAGTCAGTCAGTTAGTCTGCTAGTCAGTTGATTAGTCAGTCACTTAGTCAGTCGCTTAGTCAGTCAGTCGGTTAGTCATTCGGTTATTCAGTTAGTCAGTCAGTCAGTCGCTTAATCAGTCGGTTAGTCAGTCGCTTAGTCAGTCAGTAGGTTAGTCAGTCGCTTAGTCGGTTAGTCAGTGGCTTAGTTAGTGGCTTAGTCAGTCAGTTAGTCAGTCGCTTAGTCAGTCGCTTAGTCAGTAGGTTAGTCAGTCGCTTAGTCAGTCGGTTAAACAGTTGCTTAGTCAGTCGCTTAGTCAGTCGCTTAGTCAGTCGGTTAGTCAGTCGTTTAGTCAGTCAGTCGGTTAGTCAGTCGTTTAGTCAGTAGGTTAGTCAGTCGCTTAGTCAGTCAGTCGGTTAGTCAGTCGTTTAGTCAGTAGGTTATGCAGTCGCTTAGTCAGTCGGCTAGTCAGTCGCTCAGTCAGTCAGTCGGTTAGTCAGTCGTTTAGTCAGTAGGTTAGTCAGTCGCTTAGTTAGTCGGTTAGTCAGTCGGTTAGTCAGTCAGTCGCTTAGTCAGTTGCTTAGTCAGTCGCTTAGTCGGTTAGTCAGTCGCTTAGTCAGTCAGTCGGTTAGTCAGTCGTTTAGTCAGTAGGTTAGTCAGTCGGTTAGTCAGTCAGTCAGTCGCTTAGTCAGTCGCTTAGTGACTTAGTCAGTCGGTTAGTAAGTCAGTCAGTCGGTTAGTCAGTCGCTTAGTCAGTCGGTTAGTCAGTCGCTTAGTCAGTCAGTCAGTTAGTCAGTCGTTTAGTCAGTAGGTTAGTCAGTCACTTAGTCAGTCGGTTAGTCAGTCAGTCAGTCGGTTAATCAGTTGCTTAGTCAGTCGGTTAGTCAGTCGGTTAGTCAGTCGCTTAGTGAGTCAGTCAGTTAGTCAGTCGTTTAGTCAGTAGGTTAGTCAGTCGCTTAGTCAGTCGGTTAGTCAGTCAGTCAGTCGGTTAGTCAGTGGCTTAGTGACTTAGTCAGTCACTTAGTCTCTCTCCATATCTGTGTCTCTACCTGTGTCTCTGTGTCTCTACCTGTGTCTCTACCTGTGTCTACCTGTGTCTCTGTGTCTCTGTGTGTCTTTGTGTCTCTGTGTCTCCACCTGTGTGTCTCTGTGTCTCTGTGTGTCTCGGTGTCTCTACCTGTGTCTCTACCTGTGTCTCTGTGTCTCTGTGTGTGTCTCTGTGTCTCTGTGTGTCTCTACCTGTGTCTGTGTCTCTACCTGTGTCTCTGTGTCTCTGTGTGTCTCTGTGTCTCTACCTGTGTCTCTGTGTCTCTACCTGTGTCTCTGTGTGTCTCTGTGTGTCTCTGTGTCTCTACCTGTGTCTCTGTGTCTCTGTGTATCTGTGTGTCTCTGTGTGTCTCTGTGTCTCTACCTGTGTCTCTGTGTGTCTGTGTGTGTCTCTGTGTGTCTCTGTGTGTCTCTGTGTCTCCAACTGTGTGTCTCTGTGTGTCTTTGTGTGTCATTGTGTGTATACCTGTGTCTCTGTGTGTCTCTGTGTCTCTACCTGTGTCTAGGTGGGTCTCTGGGTCTCTGTGTGTCTCTGTGCCTCTACCTGTGTCTCTGTGTGTCTCTGTGTCTCTATCTGTGTGTCTACCTGTGTCTCTGTGTGTCTCTATGTCTCTGTGTCTCTCCACCTGTGTCTCTACCTGTGTCTCTGTGTGTCTCTTTGTCTCTGTGTGTCTCTATGTCTCTGTGTGTCTACCTGTGTGTCTGTGTGTCTCTGTGTCTCTGTGTGTCTACCTGTGTCTCTGTGTCTCTACCTGTGTCTCTGTGTCTCTGTGTCTCCACCTGTGTGCCTCTGTGTGTCTACCTGTGTCTCTGTGTGTCTCTGTGTCTCTACCTGTGTGTCTGTGTGTGTGTCTGTGTGTGTCTTTGTGTCTCTCTACCTGTGTCATTGTGTCTCTACCTGTGTCTCTGTGTGTCTCTGTGTGTCTCTGTGTCTCTACCTGTGTCTCTGTGTGTCTCTGTGTGTCTCTGTCTCTACCTGTGTGTCTCTGTGTGTCTCTACCTGTGTCTCTGTGTCTCTGTGTCTCTACCTGTGTCTCTGTGTGTCTCTGTCTCTACCTGTGTGTCTCTGTGTGTCTCTACCTGTGTCTCTGTGTCTCTGTGTCTCTACCTGTGTCTCTGTGTCTCTACCTGTGTCTCTGTGTCTCTGTGTGTGTCTCTGTGTGTCTCTACCTGTGTCTCTGTGTGTCTGTGTGTGTCTCTGTGTGTCTCTACCTGTGTCTCTGTGTGTCTCTGTGTCTCTACCTGTGTGTCTGTGTGTGTGTCTGTGTGTATTTGTGTCTCTCTACCTGTGTCTGTGTGTGTCTGTGTGTGTCTGTGTGTGTCTCTACCTGTGTCTCTGTGTGTCTCTGTGTCTCTACCTGTGTGTCTGTGTGTGTCTGTGTGTGTCTTTGTGTCTCTCTACCTGTGTCTGTGTGTGTCTGTGTGTGTCTGTGTGTGTCTCTACCTGTGTCTCTGTGTGTCTCTGTGTCTCTCCACCTGTGTCTGTGTGTCTGTGTGTGTCTCTACCTGTTTCTCTGTGTGTCTCTGTGTCTCTACCTGTGTGTCTGTGTGTGTGTGTCTGTGTGTGTCTTTGTGTCTCTCTACCTGTGTCTGTGTGTGTCTGTGTGTGTCTGTGTGTGTCTCTACCTGTGTCTCTGTGTGTCTCTGTGTGTCTCTGTGTCTCTCCACCTGTATCTGTGTGTGTCTGTGTGTGTCTCTACCTGTGTCTCTGTGTCTCTACCTGTTGCTCTGTGTCTCTGTTTGTTTCTCTGTGTGTCTCTACCTGTGTCTCTGTGTGTCTCTACCTGTGTCTCTGTGTGTCTCTACCTGTGTCTCTGTGTGTCTCTGTGTCTCTACCTGTGTCTGTGTGTGTCTGTGTGTGTCTGTGTGTCTCTGTGTGTCTCTACCTGTGTCTCTGTGTCTCTGTGTGTCTCTGTGTGTCTCTGTGTGTCTCTACCTGTGTCTGTGTGTGTCTCTGTCTCTGTGTGTCTCTACCTGTGTCTCTGTGTCCCTGTGTCTCTGTGTGTCTCTACCTGTATCTCTGTGTCTCTACCTGTCTCTACCTGTGTGTGTCTCTGTGTGTGTCTCTACCTGTGTCTGTGTGTGTCTCTCTGTCTCTGTGTGTGTGTCTCTCTCTGTCTGTGTGTGTGTAGGTGTAACACGCTCCAGCCGGGCTGTGAGAACGTCTGCTATGATGCGGCGTTCCCCGTCTCTCACGTGCGTCTGTGGATGCTGCAGATTGTCTTTGTGTCTCTACCTGTGTCTCTGTGTCTCTCTACCTGTGTCTGTGTGTCTCTGTGTGTGTGTCTCTACCTGTGTCTCTGTGTGTCTCTACCTGTGTCTGTGTGTCTGTGTGTGTGTGTCTCTACCTGTGTCTCTGTGTCTCTACCTGTGTCTCTGTGTCTCTGTGTCTCTGTGTGTCTCTACCTGTGTCTCTGTGTGTCTGTGTGTGTGTGTCTCTACCTGTATCTCTGTGTGTCTCTGTGTGTCTCTACCTGTGTGTGTCTGTGTGTGTGTCTGTGTGTCTCTGTGTGTCTCTACCTGTGTCTCTGTGTGTCTGTGTCTTCACCTGTGTCTCTGTGTGTCTCTACCTGTGTCTCTCTGTCTCTGTGTGTGTCTCTGTGTGTGTGTGTCTGTGTGTTTGTCTGTGTGTAGGTGTAACACGCTCCAGCCGGGCTGTGAGAATGTCTGCTATGATGCGGCCTTCCCCATCTCTCACGTGCGCCTGTGGATGCTTCAGATCGTTTTTGTGTCTCTACCTGTGTTTCTGTGTCTCTACCTGTGTGTGTGTCTCTGTGTCTCTACCTGTGTCTCTGTGTGTCTCTACCTGTGTGTGTCTCTACCTGTGTCTCTGTGTGTGTCTCTACCTGTGTCTCTGTGTGTGTGTCTGTGTGTCTCTACCTGTGTCTCTACCTGTGTCTCTGTGTGTCTCTACCTGTGTCTCTGTGTGTGTGTCTGCGTGTGTCTCTGTGTGTGTGTAGGTGTAACACGCTCCAGCCGGGCTGTGAGAATGTCTGCTATGATGCGGCCTTCCCCATCTCTCACGTGCGCCTGTGGATGCTTCAGATCGTTTTTGTGTCTCTACCTGTGTCTCTGTGTCTCTACCTGTGTGTGTGTCTCTGTGTGTCTCTACCTGTGTGTGTCTCTACCTGTGTCTCTACCTGTGTCTCTGTGTGTCTGTGTGTCTGTGTCTCTGTGTGTGTGTAGGTGTAACACGCTCCAGCCGGGCTGTGAGAACGTCTGCTATGATGCGGCGTTCCCCATCTCTCACGTGCGTCTGTGGATGCTTCAGATCGTTTTTGTGTCTCTACCTGTGTTTCTGTGTCTCTACCTGTGTGTGTGTCTCTGTGTCTCTACCTGTGTCTCTGTGTGTCTCTACCTGTGTGTGTCTCTACCTGTGTCTCTGTGTGTGTCTCTACCTGTGTCTCTGTGTGTGTGTCTGTGTGTCTCTACCTGTGTCTCTACCTGTGTCTCTGTGTGTCTCTACCTGTGTCTCTGTGTGTGTGTCTGTGTGTGTGTCTGTGTGTGTGTGTAGGTGTAACACGCTCCAGCCGGGCTGTGAGAATGTCTGCTATGATGCGGCCTTCCCCATCTCTCACGTGCGCCTGTGGATGCTTCAGATCGTTTTTGTGTCTCTACCTGTGTCTCTGTGTCTCTACCTGTGTGTGTGTCTCTGTGTGTCTCTACCTGTGTGTGTCTCTACCTGTGTCTCTGTGTGTCTGTGTGTCTGTGTCTCTGTGTGTGTGTAGGTGTAACACGCTCCAGCCGGGCTGTGAGAACGTCTGCTATGATGCGGCGTTCCCCATCTCTCACGTGCGTCTGTGGATGCTTCAGATCGTTTTTGTGTCTCTACCTGTGTCTCTGTGTGTCTGTGTGTCTCTACCTGTGTCTCTGTGTCTCTCTACCTGTGTGTGTCTCTACCTGTGTCTCTGTGTGTCTCTACCTGTGTCTCTACCTGTGTCTCTGTGTGTGTGTAGGTGTAACACGCTCCAGCCGGGCTGTGAGAATGTCTGCTACGATGCGGCGTTCCCCATCTCTCACGTGCGCCTGTGGATGCTTCAGATCGTTTTTGTGTCTCTACCTGTGTCTCTGTGTGTCTGTGTGTCTCTACCTGTGTCTCTGTGTCTCTCTACCTGTGTGTGTCTCTACCTGTGTCTCTGTGTGTCTCTACCTGTGTCTCTACCTGTGTCTCTGTGTGTGTGTAGGTGTAACACGCTCCAGCCGGGCTGTGAGAACGTCTGCTATGATGCGGCGTTCCCCATCTCTCACGTGCGCCTGTGGATGCTTCAGATCGTTTTTGTGTCTCTACCTGTGTCTCTGTGTCTCTCTACCTGTGTGTGTGTCTCTGTGTGTGTCTGTGTGTGTCTGTGTGTGTGTGTGTAGGTGTAACACGCTCCAGCCGGGCTGTGAGAACGTCTGCTATGATGCGGCGTTCCCCATCTCTCACGTGCGCCTGTGGATGCTTCAGATCGTTTTTGTGTCTCTACCTGTGTCTCTGTGTCTCTGTGTGTCTCTACCTGTCTGTGTGTCTGTGTGTCTCTACCTGTGTGTGTGTCTCTACCTGTGTGTGTCTCTACCTGTGTGTGTGTGTAGGTGTAACACGCTCCAGCCGGGCTGTGAGAACGTCTGCTATGATGCGGCGTTCCCCATCTCTCACGTGCGCCTGTGGATGCTTCAGATCGTCTTTGTGTTTCTACCTGTGTCTCTGTGTCTGTGTGTGTCTCTACCTGTGTCTCTGTGTGTGTCTCTACCTGTGTCTCTGTGTGTGTCTGTGTGTCTCTCTCTCTGTGTGTAGGTGTAACACGCTCCAGCCGGGCTGTGAGAACGTCTGCTATGATGCGGCCTTCCCTATCTCTCACGTGCGCCTGTGGATGCTTCAGATCGTTTTTGTGTCTCTACCTGTGTCTCTGTGTGTGTGTCTCTACCTGTGTCTCTGTGTCTCTAACTGTGTCTCTACCTGTGTCTCTACCTGTGTCTCTGTGTGTCTCTACCTGTCTGTGTGTCTGTGTGTCTCTACCTGTGTGTGTGTCTCTACCTGTGTGTGTCTCTACCTGTGTGTGTGTGTAGGTGTAACACGCTCCAGCCGGGCTGTGAGAACGTCTGCTATGATGCGGCGTTCCCCATCTCTCACGTGCGCCTGTGGATGCTTCAGATCGTTTTTGTGTCTCTACCTGTGTCTGTGTGTGTGTCTGTGTCTCTACCTCTGTCTCTGTGTGTGTCTCTACCTGTGTCTCTGTGTGTGTCTGTGTGTCTCTCTCTCTGTGTGTAGGTGTAACACGCTCCAGCCGGGCTGTGAGAACGTCTGCTATGATGCGGCGTTCCCCATCTCTCACGTGCGCCTGTGGATGCTTCAGATCGTCTTTGTGTCTTCCCCATCGCTGCTCTACGCCAGCCATGTGCTGCACTCGCTCAGGGCCGCTCAGAAGCAGCAGGTACGTGTGGTGTGTGTGGTGTGTGTGTGGTGTGTGGTGAGTGTGGTGTGTGTGTGGTGTGTGGTGTGTGTGTGTGGTGTGTGTGGTGTGTAGTGTGGTGTGTGTGTGGTGTGTGTGGTGTGTGTGTGGTGTGTGTGGTGTGTGTCAGTGTGTGGTGCGTGTGGTGTGTGTGGTGTGTGTGTGGTGTGTGTGGTGTGTGTGGTGTGTGTGTCGTGTGTGTTGGGTGTGTGTGGTGTGTGTGGTGTGTGGTGTGTGTGGTGTGTAGTGTGGTGTGTGTGGTGTGTGTGGTGTGTGTGTGGTGTGTGTGTAGTGTGGTGTGTGTGGTGTGTGTGTGGTGTGTGTGGTGTATGTGGTGTGTGTGGTGTGGTGTGTGTGTAGTGTGTGTGGTGTGTGTGTGGTGTGTGTATTGTGTGTGGTGTGTGTGTGTGTGTGGTGTGTGTGGTGTGTGTGGTGTGTGTGTGGTGTGTGTGGTGTGTGTAGTGTGTGTGTGGTGTGTGTGTCAGTGTGTGTGTGTGGTGTGTGTGGTGTGTGTGGTGTGTGTGTGTGTAGTGTGTGGTGTGTGGTGTGTGTGTAGTGTGGTGTGTGTGGTGTGTGTGGTGTGTGTGTGGTGTGTGTGTGGTGTGTGGTGTGTGTGGTGTGTGTGTAGTGTGTGGTGTGTGTGGTGTGTGTGTGTGGTGTGTGTGGTGTGCGTGTGGTGTGTGTGGTGTGTGTGGTGTGTGTGGTGTGTGTGTGGTGTGTGTGGTGTGTGTGGTGTGTGTGTGGTGTGTGTGTGTGTCAGTGTGGTGTGTGTGTGGTGTGTGTGGTGTGTGTGGTGCGTGTGGTGTGTGTGGTGTGTCTGTGTGTGTTTGTGTGTGTGTGGTGTGTGTGTGGTGTGTGTGGTGTGTGTCACTGTGTGTGTGGTGTGTGTGGTGTGTGTGGTGTGTGTGTGCTGTGTGTGTGTGTGTGGTGTGTGTGGGGTGTGGTGTGTGTGTGGTGTGTGTGTGTAGTGTGGTGTGTGTGGTGTGGTGTGTGTGGTGTGGTGTGTGTGTGTGGTGTGTGTGGTGTGTGTGGTGTGGTGTGTGTGTGTGGTGTGTGTGTGGTGTGGTGTGTGTGTGTTGTGTGTGTGTGTCACTGTGTGTGTGTCTGTGTGTGTGGTGTGTGTGTGGTGTGTGTGGTGTGTGTGTGTGGTGTGTGGTGTGTAGTGTGTGTGTGGTGTGTAGTGTGGTGTGTGTGTGGTGTGTGTGTGGTGTGTGTGTGGTGTGTGTGTGGTGTGGTGTGTAGTGTGTGGTGTGTGTGGTGTGTGTGTTGTGTGTAGTGTGGTGTGTTGTGTGTGTGGTGTGTGTAGTGTGGTGTGTAGTGTGTGTGTGTGGTGTGTGTGGTGTGTGTGTGGTGTGTGTGGTGTGTGTGGTGTGTGTGTGGTGTGTGGTGTGGTGTGTGTGTAGTGTGTGTGGTGTGTGTGTGGTGTGTGTGGTGTGTGTGGTGTGTGTGGTGTGTGTGGTGTGTGTGGTGTGTGTGGTGCGTGTGGTGTGTGTGTGTGTTGTGTGTGTGTGTGGTGTGTGTGTGGTGTGTGTGGTGTGTGTGTGGTGTGTGTGGTGTGTGTGTGGTGTGTGTGGTGTGTGTGTGGTGTGTGTGGTGTGTGTGGTGTGTGTGGTGCGTGTGGTGTGTGTGTGTGGTGTGTGTGTGGTGTGTGTGTCGTGTGTGTTGTGTGTGTGTGGTGTGTGTGTGGTGTGTGTGGTGTGTGTCAGTGTGTGGTGCGTGTGGTGTGTGTGGTGTGTGTGTGGTGTGTGTGGTGTGTGTGGTGTGTGTGGTGTGTAGTGTGGTGTGTGTGGTGTGTGTGTGTGGTGTGTGTGGTGTGTGTGGTGTGTGTGTGGTGTGTGTGTGGTGTGTGTGGTGTGTGTGTGGTGTGTGTGTGGTGTGTGTGGTGTGTGTGTGGTGTGTGTGGTGTGTGTGGTGTGTGTGGTGTGTGTGGTGTGTGTGGTGGTGTGTGTGTGTGGTGTGTGTGGTGTGTGTGTGCTGTGTGTGTGTGTGTGGTGTGTGTGGGGTGTGGTGTGTGTGGTGTGTGTGTGGTGTGTGGTGTGTGTGGTGTGGTGTGTGTGGTGTGGTGTGTGTGGTGTGGTGTGTGTGGTGTGTGTGTGGTGTGTGTGTGGTGTGTGTGTGGTGTGTGTGTGTGTGTGTGGTGTGTGTGGTGCGTGTGGTGTGTGTGTGTGGTGTGTGTGTGGTGTGTGTGGTGCGTGTGGTGTGTGTGTGTGGTGTGTGTGTGGTGTGTGTGGTGTGTGTGGTGTGTGTGGTGTGTGTGTGGTGTGTGTGTGGTGTGTGGTGTGTGTGGTGTGTGTGTAGTGTGTGGTGTGTGTGGTGTGTGTGTGGTGTGTGTGGTGTGCGTGTGGTGTGTGTGGTGTGTGTGGTGTGTGTGGTGTGTGTGTGGTGTGTGTGGTGTGTGTGGTGTGTGTGTGGTGTGTGTGGTGTGTGTGGTGTGTGTGTGCTGTGTGTGTGTGTGTGGTGTGTGTGGGGTGTGGTGTGTGTGGTGTGTGTGTGGTGTGTGTGTGTAGTGTGGTGTGTGTGGTGTGGTGTGTGTGTGGGGTGTGTGTGGTGTGTGTGGTGTGGTGTGTGTGTGTGGTGTGTGTGTGGTGTGGTGTGTGTGTGTTGTGTGTGTGTGTCACTGTGTGTGTGTCTGTGTGTGTGGTGTGTGTGTGGTGTGTGTGGTGTGTGTGTGTGGTGTGTGGTGTGTAGTGTGTGTGTGGTGTGTAGTGTGGTGTGGTGTGTGTGTGGTGTGTGTGTGGTGTGTGTGTGGTGTGGTGTGTAGTGTGTGGTGTGTGTGGTGTGTGTGTTGTGTGTAGTGTGGTGTGTTGTGTGTGTGGTGTGTGTAGTGTGGTGTGTGGTGTGTGTGTGTGGTGTGTGTGGTGTGTGTGTGGTGTATGTGGTGTGTGTGGTGTGTGTGTGGTGTGTGGTGTGGTGTGTGTGTAGTGTGTGTGGTGTGTGTGTGGTGTGTGTGGTGTGTGTGGTGTGTGTGGTGTGTGTGGTGTGTGTGGTGTGTGTGGTGCGTGTGGTGTGTGTGTGTGTTGTGTGTGTGTGTGGTGTGTGTGTGGTGTGTGTGGTGTGTGTGTGGTGTGTGTGGTGTGTGTGTGGTGTGTGTGGTGTGTGTGTGGTGTGTGTGGTGTGTGTGGTGTGTGTGGTGTGTGTGGTGCGTGTGGTGTGTGTGTGTGGTGTGTGTGTGGTGTGTGTGTGGTGTGTGTGGTGTGTGTCAGTGTGTGGTGCGTGTGGTGTGTGTGGTGTGTGTGTGGTGTGTGTGGTGTGTGTGGTGTGTGTGGTGTGTAGTGTGGTGTGTGTGGTGTGTGTGTGTGGTGTGTGGTGTGTTGTGTGTGTGTGGTGTGTCGTGTGGGGTGTGTGTGGTGTGTGTGTGGTGTGTGTGTGGTGTGTGTGTGGTGTGTGTGGGGTGTGGTGTGTGTGGTGTGTGTGTGGTGTGTGTGTGTGGTGTGTGTGGTGTGTGTGTGCTGTGTGTGTGTGTGTGGTGTGTGTGGGGTGTGGTGTGTGTGGTGTGTGTGTGGTGTGTGGTGTGTGTGGTGTGGTGTGTGTGGTGTGGTGTGTGTGGTGTGTGTGTGGTGTGTGTGTGGTGTGTGTGTGGTGTGTGTGTGGTGTGTGTGGTGTGTGTGGTGCGTGTGGTGTGTGTGTGTGGTGTGTGTGTGGTGTGTGTGTGGTGGCTGTGTGGTGTGTGTGGTGTGTGTGGTGCGTGTGGTGTGTGTGTGTGGTGTGTGTGTGGTGTGTGTGGTGTGTGTGTGTGGTGTGTGTGGTGTGTGTGTGGTGTGTATGGTGTGTGTTGTGTGTAGTGTGTGTGGTGTGTGTGTGTGGTGTGTGTGTGGTGTGTGTTGTGTGGTGTGTGTGTGTGTGGTGTGTGTGTGGTGTGTGTGTGGTGTGTGTGTGTGTGTGGTGTGTGTGTGGTGTGTGTGGTGTGTGTGTGTGGTGCGTGGTGTGTGTGTGTGGTGTGAGTGGTGTGTGTGTGTGTGTGTGTCACTGTGTGTGTGTCTGTGTGTGTGGTGCGTGTGGTGTGTGTGTGTGTGGTGTGTGTGGTGTGTGTGTGTGTGGTGTGTGTGGTGTGTGTGTGTCTGGTGTGTGTGGTGTGTGTGTGGTGTGTGTGGTGTGTGTGGTGTGTGTGTGGTGTGTGTGTGGTGTGTGTGGTGTGTGGGGTGTGTGTGGTGTGTGTGTGGTGTGTGTGGTGTGTGTGTGTGGTGTGTGTGGTGTGTAGTGTGGTGTGTGTAGTGTGTGTGGTGTGTGTGGTGTGTGTGTGGTGTGGTGTGCGTGTGGTGTGTGTGGTGTGTGTGGTGTGTGTTGTGTGTGTGTTGTGTGTAGTGTGGTGTGTGTGGTGTGTGTGGTGTGTGTGGTGTGTAGTGTGGTGTGTGTGTGTAGTGTGTGTGTGTGGTGTGTGTGTGTAGTGTGTGGTGTGTGTGTGGTGTGTGTGGTATGTGTGTAGTGTGGTGTGTGTGGTGTGTGTGTGTGGTGTGTGTGTGGTGTGTGTGTGGTGTGTGGTGTGTGTGTGTGGTGTGTGTGTGGTGTGTGTGTGGTGTGGTGTGTGTGTGGTGTGTGTGTGGTGTGTGTGGTGTGTGTGTGGTGTGTGTGGTGTGTGTGTGTGTGGTGTGTGTGGTGTGTGTGGTGTGTGTGGTGTGTGTGTCAGTGTGTGTGTGTGGTGTGTGTGTGGTGTGTGTGTGGTGTGTGGTGTGTGTGGTGTGTGTGTGGTGTATGTGGTGTGTGTGTGGTGTGTGTGGTGTGTGGTGTGTGATGTAGTGTGTGTGTGTGTGTGTGTGTGGTGTGTGTGGTGTGTGTAGTGTGTGTGTTGCGTGTGGTGTGTGGTGTGTGTGTTGTGGTGTGTGTGTGGTGTATGTGGTGTGTGTGGTGTGTGTGGTGTGTGTGTGTGTGTGTGTGGTGTGTGTGTGGTGTGTAGTGTGTGGTGTGTGTGTGGTGTGTGTGTGTAGTGTGGTGTGTGTGGTGTGGTGTGTGTGTGTGGTGTGTGTGGTGTGTGTGGTGTGGTGTGTGTGTGTGGTGTGTGTGTGGTGTGGTGTGTGTGTGTTGTGTGTGTGTGTCACTGTGTGTGTGTCTGTGTGTGTGGTGTGTGTGTGGTGTGTGTGGTGTGTGTGTGTGGTGTGTGGTGTGTAGTGTGTGTGTGGTGTGTAGTGTGGTGTGTGTGTGGTGTGTGTGTGGTGTGTGTGTGGTGTGTGTGTGGTGTGGTGTGTAGTGTGTGGTGTGTGTGGTGTGTGTGTTGTGTGTAGTGTGGTGTGTTGTGTGTGTGGTGTGTGTAGTGTGGTGTGTGGTGTGTGTGTGTGGTGTGTGTGGTGTGTGTGTGGTGTATGTGGTGTGTGTGGTGTGTGTGTGGTGTGTGGTGTGGTGTGTGTGTAGTGTGTGTGGTGTGTGTGTGGTGTGTGTGGTGTGTGTGGTGTGTGTGGTGTGTGTGGTGTGTGTGGTGTGTGTGGTGTGTTTTGTGTGTGTGTGTTGTGTGTGTGTGTGGTGTGTGTGTGGTGTGTGTGCGTGTGTGTGGTGTGTGTGGTGTGTGAGTGCTGTGTGTGGTGTGTGTGTGGTGTGTGTGGTGTGTGTGGTGTGTGTGGTGTGTGTGGTGCGTGTGGTGTGTGTGTGTGGTGTGTGTGTGGTGTGTGTGTGGTGTGTGTGGTGTGTGTCTGTGTGTGGTGCGTGTGGTGTGTGTGGTGTGTGTGTGGTGTGTGTGGTGTGTGTGGTGTGTGTGGTGTGTTGTGTGGTGTGTGTGGTGTGTGTGTGTGTCACTGTGTGTGTGTCTGTGTGTGTGGTGTGTGTGTGTGGTGTGTCGTGGTGTGTGTGTGGTGTGTGTGTGGTGTGTGTGTGGTGTGTGGTGTGTGTGGTGTATGTTGTGTGTGTGTGGTGTGTGTGTGTGGTGTGTGTGTGTGGTGTGTGTGGTGTGTGTGTGCTGTGTGTGTGTGTGTGTGTGTGGGGTGTGGTGTGTGTGGTGTGTGTGTGGTGTGTGGTGTGTGTGGTGTGGTGTGTGTGGTGTGGTGTGTGTGGTGTGTGTGTGGTGTGTGTGTGGTGTGTGTGTGGTGTGTGTGTGGTGTGTGTGGTGTGTGTGGTGCGTGTGGTGTGTGTGTGTGGTGTGTGTGTGGTGTGTGTGTGGTGGCTGTGTGGTGTGTGTGGTGTGTGTGGTGCGTGTGGTGTGTGTGTGTGGTGTGTGTGTGGTGTGTGTGGTGTGTGTGTGTGGTGTGTGTGGTGTGTGTGTGGTGTGTATGGTGTGTGTTGTGTGTAGTGTGTGTGGTGTGTGTGTGTGGTGTGTGTGTGGTGTGTGTTGTGTGGTGTGTGTGTGTGTGGTGTGTGTGTGGTGTGTGTGTGGTGTGTGTGTGTGTGTGTGGTGTGTGTGTGGTGTGTGTGGTGTGTGTGTGTGGTGCGTGGTGTGTGTGTGTGGTGTGAGTGGTGTGTGTGTGTGTGTGTGTCACTGTGTGTGTGTCTGTGTGTGTGGTGCGTGTGGTGTGTGTGTGTGTGGTGTGTGTGGTGTGTGTGTGTGTGGTGTGTGTGGTGTGTGTGTGTCTGGTGTGTGTGGTGTGTGTGTGGTGTGTGTGGTGTGTGTGGTGTGTGTGTGGTGTGTGTGTGGTGTGTGTGGTGTGTGGGGTGTGTGTGGTGTGTGTGTGGTGTGTGTGGTGTGTGTGTGTGGTGTGTGTGGTGTGTGTGTGGTGTGTGTAGTGTGTGTGGTGTGTGTGGTGTGTGTGTGGTGTGGTGTGCGTGTGGTGTGTGTGGTGTGTGTGGTGTGTGTTGTGTGTGTGTTGTGTGTAGTGTGGTGTGTGTGGTGTGTGTGGTGTGTGTGGTGTGTAGTGTGGTGTGTGTGTGTTGTGTGTGTGTGTGGTGTGTGTGTGTAGTGTGTGGTGTGTGTGTGGTGTGTGTGGTATGTGTGTAGTGTGGTGTGTGTGGTGTGTGTGTGTGGTGGGAGTGAATGGTGAGTCTGTGTGTGTGTGGTGTGTGTGTGGTGTGTGGTGTGTGTGTGGTGTGTGTGTGTGGTGTGTGTGTGGTGTGGTGTGTGTGTGGTGTGTGTGTGGTGTGTGTGGTGTGTGTGTGGTGTGTGTGGTGTGTGTGTGTGTGGTGTGTGTGGTGTGTGTGGTGTGTGTGGTGTGTGTGTCAGTGTGTGTGTGTGGTGTGTGTGTGGTGTGTGTGTGGTGTGTGGTGTGTGTGGTGTGTGTGTGGTGTATGTGGTGTGTGTGTGGTGTGTGTGGTGTGTGGTGTGTGATGTAGTGTGTGTGTGTGTGTGTGTGTGGTGTGTGTGGTGTGTGTAGTGTGTGTGTTGCGTGTGGTGTGTGGTGTGTGTGTTGTGGTGTGTGTGTGGTGTATGTGGTGTGTGTGGTGTGTGTGGTGTGTGTGTGTGTGTGTGTGGTGTGTGTGTGGTGTGTAGTGTGTGGTGTGTGTGTGTGTGTGTGGTGTGTAGTGTGGTGTGTGGTGTGTCTGGTGTGTGTGTGTGTGGTGTGTGTGTGTAGTGTGTGTGTGGTGTGTGTGTGTGTGGTGTGTGTGTGGTGTGTGTAGTGTGTGTGTGTGGTGTGTGTGGTGTGTGTGGTGTGTGTGGTGTGTGTAGTGTGTGTGTGGTGTGTGTGTGGTGTGTGTGTGGTGTGTGTGTGGTGTGTGTGGTGTGTGCGTGGTGTGTGTGGTGTATGTGTGGTGTGTGTGTGGTGTGTGTGTGTGGTGTGTGTGGTGTGTGTGGTGTGTGTGTGTGTGGTGTGTGTGTATGTGGTGTGTGTGTGGTGTGTGTGTGGTGTGTGTGTGGTGTGTGTGTGGTGTGTGTGGTGTGTGTGGTGTATGTGGTGTGTGTGTAGTGTGTGTGGTGTGTGTGTCTGTGTGTGGTGTGTGTGGTGTGTGTAGTGTGTGTGTGTAGTGTGTGTGTGGTGTGTGTCAGTGTGTGTGTGTAGTGTGTGTGTCAGTGTGTGTGGTGTGTGTGTGGTGTGTGTGGTGTGCGTGTGGTGTGTGTGGTGTGTGTATGTGGTGTGTGTGTGTGGTGTATGTGGTGTGTGTGTGTCACTGTGTGTGGTGTGTGTGGTGTGTGTGTGTGGTGTGTGTGGTGTGTGTGTGTGTGTGGTGTGTGTGTGTGTGGTGTATGTGGTGTGTGTGTGTGTGTGTCACTGTGTGTGTCTGTGTGTGTGTGTCTGTGTGTCACTGTGTGTGTCTGTGTCTGTGTGTGTCCCTGTCTTCGTGTCGCTTCCCTCGCTAACCCACGGCAGCACGTCTCTTGCTAATATCTATTTACCGGACATCCCGTAGACGTCCCGAGTTGCCCTCGTCGATGCCACTACACCTACCACCGCCCCTACGCTTCCCCGACAGTGTTAGCTGCGCCCCTTGACAGCTTGCCAATGTCTGTTTACCGGACATCCCGTAGACGTGCCGAGTTGCCCTCGTCGATGCCACTACAACTACCACCGCCGCTACGCTTCCCCGACAGTGTTAGCTGCGCCCCTTGACAGCTTGCCAATGACTGTTTACCGGACATCCCGTAGACGTGCCGAGTTGCCCTCGTCGATGCCACTACACTTACCACCGCCCCTACGCTTCCGCGACAGTGTTAGCTGCGCCCCTTGAAAGCTTGCCAATGTCTGTTTACCGGACATCCCGTAGACGTGCCGAGTTGCCCTCGTCGATGCCACTACACCTACCACCGCTAACCACCGCAGCGCTAGCTGAGCATGCGATGGACGAGCGTCTCCCCCGGGCTGCCCCCGGCGAGGTTCGACTCAGCTGTGGCGTCTGCGCTCGCTCGGGCCAGGAGCTGCTGACCAGGGGGAGGATCGTCACAGCGGCGACGTCGATGATGAGGGGGATGAGTGGGATGAGGAGGAGTGAGCCCGGCCGCACCGCCTTGGGGGACGATGTCGAAGCCGGGACCACGGAGGCAGCATCCTGGACGTCGCCCGGGGAGAAGGGCGGAGAGATGGAGGTGAGGGTGGGTGGGTTGGTGGGTGGGTGGGTGAGTGGGTGGGTGGGTGAGTGAGTGAGTGGGTGGGTGGGTGAGTGGGTGGGTGAGTGAGTGGGTGGGTGGGTGGGTGAGTGGGTGGGTGGGTGAGTGAGTGGGTGGGTGGGTGGGTGAGTGGGTGGGTGAGTGGGTGAGTGAGTGAATGAGTGGGTGGGTGAGTGAGTGGGTGGGTGAGTGAGTGGGTGAGTGAGTGAGTGGGTGAGTGAGTGAATGAGTGGGTGGGTGGGTGAGTGGGTGGGTGAGTGGGTAGGTAGGTGAGAGACCCACAGAGACTCACAGAGACCCACGCAGACTCACAGAGACCCACGCAGACTCACAGAGACCCACGCAGACTCACAGAGACCCACAGAGACTCACAGAGACTCACAGAGACCCACAGAGACCCATAGAAATCCACAGAGACCCACACAGCCTCACGCAGACTCACAGAGACCCACAGAGACTCGCAGAGACCCGCAGAGACCCACAGAGACTCACAGAGACTCACAGAGACCCACAGAGACTCACAGAGACCCACAGAGACTCACAGAGACCCACAGAGACTCACAGAGACTCACAGAGACCCACAGAGACCCACAGAGACCTACAGAGACTCACAGAGACCCACAGAGACTCACAGAGACACACAGAGACCCACAGAGACCCACAGAGACCCACGCAGACCCACAGAGACCCACAGAGACCCACACAGAGACCCACATAGACTCACAGAGACTCACAGAGACCCACACAGAGACCCACAGAGAACCACAGAGACTCACAGAGACCCACAGAGACACCCACAGAGACTCACAGAGACCCACAGAGACTCACAGAGACCCACAGAGACACACAGAGACACACAGAGACACACAGAGACTCACAGAGACACACAGAGACACACAGAGACCCACAGAGACTCACAGAGACCCACAGAGACCCACAGAGACTCACAGAGACCCACAGAGACTCACAGAGACCCACAGAGACACCCACAGAGACCCACGAAGAACCACAGAGAACCACAGAGACTCACAGAGAACCACAGAGACTCACAGAGACACACAGAGACACACAGAGACCCACAGAGACCCACAGAGACTCACAGAGACTCACAGAGACCCACAGAGACCCATAGAAACCCACAGAGACCCACACAGCCTCACGCAGACTCACAGAGACCCACAGAGACCCACAGAGACCCGCAGAGACCCACAGAGACCCACAGAGACCCACAGAGACCCACAGAGACTCACAGAGACCCACAGAGACTCACAGAGACCCACAGAGACCCACAAAGACTCACACAGACTCACAGAGACCCACAGAAACCCACAGAGACCCACAGAGACCCACAGAGACTCGCAGAGACCCACAGAGACCGACAGAGACTCACAGAGACTCACAGAGACCCACAGAGACCCACAAAGTCTCACAGAGACTCACAGGCACCCACAGAGACCCACACAGAGACCCACACAGACACCCACAGAGACCCACAGAGACCCACACAGAGACCTACAGAGACCCACACAGAGACCCACACAGAGACCCACAGAGACTCACAGAGACTCACAGAGACTCACAGAGACCCACAGAGACCCACACAGAGACCCACAGAGACCCACACAGAGACCCACAGAGACCCACAGAGACCCACACAGAGACCCACAGAGACCCACAGAGACCCACACAGAGACCCACACAGAAACCCACACAGAGACCCACACAGAGACCCACAGAGACTCACAGAGACTCACAGAGACCCACAGAGACTCACAGAGACCCACAGAGACCGACAGAGACTCACAGAGACTCACACAGACCCACAGAGACCCGCAGAGACCGACAGAGACTCACAGAGACTCACAGAGACCCACAGAGACCCACAAAGTCTCACAGAGACTCACAGGCACCCACAGAGACCCACACAGAGACCCACACAGACACCCACAGAGACCCACAGAGACCCACACAGAGACCCACAGAGACTCACAGAGACTCACAGAGACCCACAGAGACCCACAAAGTCTCACAGAGACTCACAGGCACCCACAGAGACCCACACAGAGACCCACACAGACACCCACAGAGACCCACAGAGACCCACACAGAGACCCACAGAGACCCACAGAGACCCACAGAGACCCACACAGAGACCTACAGAGACCCACACAGAGACCCACACAGAGACCCACAGAGACTCACAAAGACTCACATAGACTCACAGAGACCCACAGAGACCCACACAGAGACCCACAGGCACCCACAGAGACCCACACAGAGACCCACAGAGACCCACAGAGACCCACAGAGACCCACACAGAGACCCACACAGAGACCCACACAGAGACCCACAGAGACTCACAGAGACCCACAGAGACCCACAGAGACCCACACAGAGACCTAGAGAGACCCACACAGAGACCCACACAGAGACCCACACAGAGACCCACACAGAGACCCACAGAGACTCACAGAGACCCACAGAGACCCACAGAGACCCACACAGAGACCTAGAGAGACCCACACAGAGACCCACACAGAGACCCACAGAGACCCACAGAGACCCACAGAGACCCACAGAGACTCACAGAGACCCACACAGAGACCCACACAGAGACCCACAGAGACCCACAGAGACCCACAGAGACCCACAGAGACCCACAGAGACTCACAGAGACTCACAGAGACCCACAGAGACTCACGGAGACCCACAGAGACTCACAGAGACCCACAGAGACTCACAGAGACCCATAGAGACTCACAGAGACTCACAGAGAATCACGGACACTCACGGAGACCCACAGAGACTCACAGAGACTCACAGAGACCCACACAGAGACCCACAAAGACTCACACAGACTCATAGAGACCCACAGAGACTCACAGAGACCCACAGAGACCCACACAGAGACCCACACAGAGACCCACACAGACACCCACAGACACCCACAGAGACCCACAGAGACCCACACAGAGACCTACAAAGACACACAGAGACACACAGAGACCCACAGAGACTCACAGAGACTCACAGAGACCCACAGAGACCCATAGAAACCCACAGAGACCCACACAGCCTCACGCAGACTCACAGAGACCCACAGAGACCCACAGAGACCCGCAGAGACCCACAGAGACCCACAGAGACCCACAGAGACCCACAGAGACTCACAGAGACCCACAGAGACTCACAGAGACCCACACAGAGACCCACAGAGACTCACAGAGACCCACAGAAACCCACAGAGACCCACAGAGACCCACAGAGACTCGCAGAGACCCACAGAGACCGACAGAGACTCACAGAGACTCACAGAGACCCACAGAGACCCACAAAGTCTCACAGAGACTCGCAGAGACCCACAGAGACCCACAGAGACCCACAGAGACCCACAGAGACCCACACAGAGACCCACAGAGACCCACAGAGACCCACACAGAGACCTACAGAGACCCACACAGAGACCCACACAGAGACCCACAGAGACTCACAGAGACTCACAGAGACTCACAGAGACCCACAGAGACCCACACAGAGACCCACAGGCACCCACAGAGACCCACACAGAGACCCACAGAGACCCACACAGAGACCCACAGAGACCCACACAGAGACCCACACAGAAACCCACACAGAGACCCACAGGCACCCACAGAGACCCACACAGAGACCCACAGAGACCCACAGAGACCCACAGAGACCCACACAGAGACCCACACAGAAACCCACACAGAGACCCACAGGCACCCACAGAGACCCACACAGAGACCCACAGAGACCCACACAGAGACCCACAGAGACCCACACAGAGACCCACAGAGACCCACAGAGACCCACAGAGACCCACACAGAGACCTAGAGAGACCCACAGAGACCCACAGAGACCCACAGAGACTCACAGAGACACACAGAGACCCACAGAGACCCACAGAGACTCACAGAGACTCACAGAGACCCACAGAGACTCACGGAGACCCACAGAGACTCACAGAGACCCACAGAGACTCACAGAGACCTACAGAGACTCACAGAGACCGACAGAGATCCACAGAGACTCACAGAGACCCACAGAGACCCACACAGAGACCCACAGAGACTCACAGAGACTCACCGTGATTGGCCGGCCTCAGTGACTCACCTCCTCTACACCCGTCCCTTGCCCCGCCCCCTTTCTCACAGAAACAACAACAACAACATCAACATCAACAACAACAACAACATCAACTACAACAACAACAACATCAACAACAACAACAACATCAACTACAACAACAACAACAACAACCTGCCCATGATCACCACGGCGACAGCCACAACAAACCCAACCACTGCCACCGTGACCCCCATCACCGCGACCCCCATCACCGTGACTACTACCACCTCGACCACCATCACCACCACCGTGACGGTGACTACCACCGTGATGATCACCGTGATGATCACCGTGATCACCAGCACGGTGATCACCACCACCGTGATCACCAGCACCGTGATCACCAGCAACGTGATTACCAGCACCGTGACTACCACCAGCACCGTGACAAGCACCGTGACGACCAGCACCGTGACGACCAGCACCGTGACCACCAGCACCGTGATCACCACCAGGACCACCACCACCACCAGCACCGTGATCACCACCACCACCAGCACCGTGACTACCACCAGCAGCACCGTGACAAGCAGGGCGACGCCGTGGCGGTGCTGGCGATGGAGGACGGCGATGACTGCGGCTATGTTGGAGTCTTCAGCCTCGCCGGCAGCGGCGGTGTCGGTGGTGGTGGTGGAGGTGGTGGTGGTGGTGGTGGTGGTGATGGTGGTGGTGTTGGTGGTGGTGGTGGTGATGGTGTTGATGGTGGTGGTGGTGGTGGTGTCGGTGGTGGCGGTGGCAGAGGTGGGAACCTGCCACTGGGCCTCCCGCCGACGCATCGTCCCACCACCACCGCCTCTGCTGCCACCGCCGCCACCTCCACCGCCTCCGCCTCCACCGCCGCCTCCGCCGCCTCCACCACCGCCTCCACCACCGCCTCCACCGCCTCCACCACCGCCTCCACCGCCTCCGCCTCCACCACCGCCTCTGCCTCCACCACCTCCACCACTGCCACCACCGCCACCACCGCCACCACTGCCTCCACCGCCTCCACCACCGCCTCCACCACCGCCTCCACCACCGCCTCCGCCGCCACCACCGCCTCCGCCGCCACCACCACCGCCTCCACCGCCTCCAAGACGAAGACGTTCACCATCGGCGGGGGCAGCCGCCGCCTCCTGCAGCGCCAGCGGCAGCAGCGGCGGCAGCAGCAGCGGCGTCAGGAGCGGGGCAAGGGGCGTGTCAAGCAGCAGCAGCAGCAGCAGCAGCAGCAGCAGCGGCAGCAGCGGCGGCCGTGCGAGCGGAGGCAGCAGCACGGTGCCGGGCCGTGGGGTGGTGGTGGTGGTGGCGGTGAAGCCGGTAGGGAGACAGCGGTGGTGGTGGTTGTGGTGGTTGTGGTGGTGGTGGTGGTTGTTGTGGTGGTGGTTGTGGTGGTTGTTGTGGTGGTGGTGGTTGTTGTGGTGGTGGTTGTTGTGGTGGTTGTTGTGGTGGTGGTTGTTGTGGTGGTGGTGGTTGTGGTGGTGGTGGTGGCGGTGAAGCCGGTACGGAGACGGCGGTGGTGGTGGTTGTGGTGGTGGTGGTGGCGGCGGTGGTGGTGGTGGCGGTGAAGCCGGTACGGAGACGGCGGTGGTGGTGGTTGTGGTGGTGGTGGTGGCGGCGGTGGTGGTGGTGGCGGTGAAGCCGGTACGGAGACGGCGGTGGTTGTGGTGGTGCTTGTGGTGGTGGTGGTGGTTGTTGTTGTGGTGGTGGTGGTGGTTGTGGTGGTGTGTTCATCCGAGGGTGGTGAGACTCAGGGTGTAGCAGAGACTCAGGATGTAGCAGAGACTCAGGATGTAGCAGAGACACAGGGCCTAGTAGAGACTCAGGGTGTAGCAGAGACTCAGGATGTAGCAGAGACACAGGGCCTAGTAGAGACTCAGGATGTAGCAGAGACACAGGGCCTAGTGGACTCAGGGTGTAGTAGAGACTCAGGGTGTAGTAGAGACTCAGGATGTAGCAGAGACTCAGGGTCTAGTAGAGACTCAGGCTGTAGCAGAGACTCAGGGCCTAGTAGAGACTCAGGGTGTAGCAGAGACTCAGGATGTTGTAGAGACTCGGGGTGTAGCAGAGACTCCGGGTCTAGTAGAGACTCAGGGCGTAGTAGAGAGACTCAGGATGTAGTAGAGACTCAGGCTGTAGCAGAGACTCAGGGTGTAGCAGAGACTCAGGGTGTAACAGAGACTCAGGCTGTAGCAGAGACTCAGGATGTAGTAGAGACTCAGGCTGTAGCAGAGACTCAGGATGTAGTAGAGACTCATAGGCTAGAGACTTAGGGTGTAGTAGAGACTCAGGGTGTAGCAGAGACTCAGGCTGTAGCAGAGACTCAGGGTGTAGTAGAGACTCAGGCTGTAGCAGAGACTCAGGCTGTAGCAGAGACTCAGGGTGTAGTAGAGACTCATAGGCTAGAGACTTAGGGTGTAGTAGAGATTCAGCATGTAGTATAGACTCAGGGTGTAGTAGAGACTCATAGTTTAGAGACTCAGGCTGTAGCAGAGACTCAGGCTGTAGCAGAGACTCCGGGTGTAGCAGAGACTCAAGATGTAGCAGAAACTCAGGATGTAGCAGAGACTCAGGATGTAGCAGAGACTCAGGGTGTTGTAGAGACTCAGGGTGTTGTAGAGACTCATAGTTTAGAGACTCAGGCTGTAGCAGAGGCTCAGGATGTAGCAGAGACTCACGAAAACACATTGACAGAGCGCCCCATTGGACGTCCCAGTAACTCTCCCCTCCCTCCTCCCCTCCCTCCCTCCCTCCCTCCCTCCCCCATCCCCCCTCCCCCTCCTCCGCAGCCTTCCACCCGGTTGACCCCACCACCACCACCACCACCACCACCGCCACCACCACCACCGCCTCGTCTCACCACCCTCCTCCACCGCCTCCTCCACCGCCTCCACCGCCTCCTCCACCGCCTCCCCCTCCTCCGCCGCTTCGCCTCCGCGGCGCCCTCCTCCGCTCGTACCTCTGCAGCGTGGCTCTGCGAGCGGCCCTCGAGGCGGCCTCCTCAGCGGCGCAGTACTGCCTCTACGGCCTCCGCCTGGACCCGCTGCACCGCTGCGGGCGGCCGCCGTGCCCGGGGGCCGTCGACTGCTTCGTGTCGCGCCCCACCGAGAAGAACGTCTTCGGCCTGCTCATGTACGCCCTCTCGGCGCTGTCGCTGGCGCTCAGCGCTGCAGAGGTGGCCCACGTCGTCCTGGGGCGGTGGCGACGGCGACAGCGGCGGCTCCGGCGGCTCAGGCTGAGGCTGAGGCTGCTGAGCGGCGGCGGCGGCGGCGATGGCGGCGATGGCGGCGTGGTCGTGGTTCGGTTGCCGTCGCCGCTGCCGGGGGCTTCGGCCGCCGCCGCCGCCGCCGGTGGTGGTGGTGGCCGGGACGACGACGATGGCGGAGGAGGAGGACGAGGAGGAGGAGGAGGAGGCGGAGGAGGAGGAGGAGGTCAAGGAGGCGGGTCCCGAGCGGCCGTGGGGATGAGGCGACGTCGATTCTTCGCCGCTCCCCACCCCTTCGACGACGCCGAAGCCGCCCCATCGGAGTCTCCGTCGGAGTCTCCGTCGGCGGCAGTGGCGGCGGCCCCCGGCTCTTCGCCGCGGGCGGTGGCTCGCTCGCCCACGTACGAGACCGTCGGTGAGGAGGAGGAGGACGACGAGGATGAGGAGGAGGAGGAGGATGAGGAGGAGGCGGCGGGGAACGGCGGCCGAGACCGCCCCCGCCGGGAGCCGCCACGCCTCGGCGGGGCGGCGGCCGCCCCGCCGGGGCGGCCGTCTTCGTCGTCGCCTGCGGGCGTCCCGACGCCCCCGGCCTCGGGCGGGGGAGGGCGAGGCGGAGGAGGAGGAGGAGGAGGAGGAGGAGGCGGAGGAGGAGGTGGAGGAGGAGGAGGAGGTGGAGGAGGTGGCGGGAGAGGAGGAGGAGGAGGAGGCGGAGGAGGAGGACGAGGCGGAGGAGGAGGCGGAAGTGGAGGAGGTGGAGGTGGAGGAGGAGGAGGTGGCGGGAGAGAAGGCGGAGGAGGCGGAGGTGGAGGAGGAGGATTAGGAGGCAGAGGAGGAGGCGGACGAGGAGGAGGAGGAGGAGGAGGAGGAGGAGGAGGAGGAGGCGGAGGAGGTGGAGACCTGGCCAGGCTGGCTCGCCAGCAGAACCGTGCCAACGAGCGCAAGTCTACGAGCCTAGGCCGAGGCTCGGGGCCCGGCGCTCCGGACAGCCTGGGCTCGCCTGCGCGGCCCGGCCCGCCGGGGAGCGACAGCGGCTCCGGCGGTGGCCGGCAGCGGCGGAGCCCGAGGGAGGACGACCTCTCCGTGTGACGGGGATGTTGACGTCCTCGCCACGGATACAGGAGGTCCGTGGGTTCGATCCAGGACCCTGTGAGATGTTGAATATCTCGCCTGGTCTACAGGAGGTCCGTGGGTTCGATCCCCGACCCTGTGAGATGTTGACTGCCTCGCCTGGACTACATGAGGTCCGTGGGTTTGATCCCGGACCCTGTGAGATGTTGACGTCCTCGCTACGGATACAGGAGGTCGTGGGTTCTAGCCCTGACCCTGTGAGATGTTGACTGCCTCGCCTGGACTACAGGAGGTCGTGGGTTCGATCACGGACCCTGTGAGGTGTTGACTACCTCGCCTGGTCTACAGGAGGTCGTGGGTTCGATCCCAGACCCTGTGAGATGTTGACTGCCTCGCCTGGTCTACAGGAGGTCGTGGGTTCGATCCCAGACCCTGTGAGATGTTGACGTCCTAGCCTGGTCTACAGGAGGTCGTGGGTTCCATCCCAGACCCTGAGAGATGTTGACTGCCTCGCCATGGATACAGGAGGTCGTGGGTTCTAGCCCTGACCCTGTGAGATGTTGACTATCTCGCCTGGTCTGCAGGAGGTCGTGAGTTAAACCTCAGACCCTGTGAGATGTTGACTGCCTCGCCTGGTCTACAGGAGGTCGTGGGTTCGATCACGGACCCTGTGAGATGTTGACTACCTCGCCTGGTCTACAGGAGGTCGTGGGTTCGATCCACGACCCTATGAGGTGTTGACTACCTCGCCTGGTCTACAGGAGGTCGTGGGTACGATCCCAGACCCTGTGAGATGTTGACTACCTCGCCTGGTATACAGGAGGTCGTGGGTTCGATCCCAGACCCTGTGAGATGTTGAATACCTCGCCTGGCCGACAGGAGGTCGTGGGTTCGATCCAGGACCCTGTGAGATGTTGACTACCTCGCCTGGTCTACAGGAGGTCGTGGGTACGATCCCAGACCCTGTGAGATGTTGACTACCTCGCCTGGTCTACAGGAGGTCGTGGGTTCTATCACGGACCCTGTGAGATGTTGACTACCTCGCCTGGTCTACAGGAGGTCGTGGGATCGATCACGGACCCTGTGAGGTGTTAGCTACCTCGCCTGGTATACAGGAGGTCGTGGGTTCGATCCCAGACCCTGTGAGATGTTGACTACCTCGCCTGGTCTACAGCAGGTCGTGGGTTCAACCTCAGACCCTGTGAGATGTTGACTACCACGCCTGGTCTACAGGAGGTCGTGGGTTCAACCTCAGACCCTGCGAGATGTTGACTACCTCGCCTGGTATACAGGAGGTCGTGGGTTCGATCCCTGACCCTGTGAGATGTTGACTACCTCGCCTGGTCTACAGCAGGTCGTGGGTTCGATCCCTGACCCTGCGAGATGTTGACTACCTCGCCTGGTCTACAGGAGGTCGTGAGTGCTGCTGCTGTGTATTTGGAGTCTGCCTCTCCCTGTGTTTCTCTCCCCGTGGTGATCACGGACGAGATTGGTTTTTATTCTGCTCATGAGCAATAGCGGCTGAACGGACTCTTACCTTGCAAGATCTACAAATAGCTTAGCTTCAGTCTGGGTCTCGGTGGGTCTCTGTGACTGTGAGGCTCTGTGGGTCTCTATGAGTATGGGTCTCTATGGGTCTATATGGGTCTCTATGAGTGTGGGTTTCTATGAGTATGGGTCTCTATGGGTCTCTATGAGTGTGGGTCTCTATGGGTCTATATGAGTCTCTATGAGTGTGGGTCTCTGTGGGTCTCTATGGGTCTCTGTGGGTCTCTATGAGTGTGGGTCTCTGTGGGTCTCTATGAGTGTGGGTCTCTGTGGGTCTCTATGGGTCTCTATGGGTCTCTGTGGGTTTCTATGAGTGTGGGTCTATATGGGTCTCTGTGGGTCTCTATGAGTATGGGTCTCTGTGGGTCTCTGTGGGTCTCTATGAGTGTGGGTCTCTGTGGGTCTCTATGAGTATGGGTCTCTATGGGTCTCTGTGGGTCTCTATGAGTGTGGGTCTCTGTGGGTCTCTATGAGTGTGGGTCTCTGTGGGTCTCTATGAGTATGGGTCTCTATGAGTGTGGGTCTCTGTGGGTCTCTATGGGTCTCTATGGGTCTCTGTGGGTCTCTATGAGTGTGGGTCTCTGTGGGTCTCTATGAGTGTGGGTCTCTATGAGTGTGGGTCTCTGTGGGTCTCTATGAGTGTGGGTCTCTGTGGGTCTCTATGAGTGTGGGTCTCTATGGGTCTCTATGGGTCTCTATGATTATAATCTATGAATATGGGTCTCTATGGGTATCTATGAGTCTCTGTGGGTCTCTATGGGTCTCTATGGGTCTCTATGGGTCTCTATGATTATAATCTACGAGTCTCTGTGGGTCTCTATGGGTATCTATGAGTCTCTGTGGGTCTTGGTGGGTCTCTAAGCATCTCTATGGATCACTGTGTGTCTCTATGATTATAATCTACGAGTCTCTGTGGGTCTCTATGGGTATCTATGAGTCTCTGTGGGTCTTGGTGGGTCTCTAAGGGTCTATATGGATCACTGTGGGTCTCTATGATTTAAAATATGAGTCTCTGTGGGTCTCTATGGGTATCTATGGATCACTGTGGGTCTCTATGATTATAATCTATGAGTCTCTGTGGGTCTCTATGGGTATCTATGAGTCTCTGTGGGTCTCTATGATTATAATCTATGAGTCTCTGTGGGTCTTTATGGGTATCTATGAGTCTCTGTGGGTCTTGGTGGGTCTCTAAGCATCTCTATGGATCACTGTGTGTCTCTATGATTATAATCTATGAGTCTCTGTGGGTCTCTATGGATATCTATGGATCACTGTGGGTCTCTATGATTATAATCTATGAGACTCTGTGGGTCTCTATGGGTATCTATGAGTCTCTGTGGGTATTGGTGGGTCTCTAACGGTCTCTATGGATCACTGTGGGTCTCTATGATTATAATCTATGAGTCTCTGTGGGTCTCTATGATTGTAATCTATGAGTCTCTGCGGGTCTCTATGGGTGTCTATGAATCTCTATGGGTCTTGGTGGGTCTCTAAGGGTCTCTATGGATCACTGTGGGTCTCTATGATTATAATCTATGAGTCTCTGTGGGTCATTTTGCTCATTTTCCGGCCTTACAGCTGTTCAGTGAAATGAATAAATAATAAACAGTGAGAGAAACCTCTTGTGATGGTGATGGTGGTGATGGTGGTGATGGTGGTGATGGTGGTGGTGATGGTGGTGGTGATGGTGGTGGTGGTGATGGTGGTGGTGATGGTGATGGTGGTGGTCATGGTGGTGGTGATGGTGGTGGTGGTGATGGTGGTGATGGTGGTGATGGTTGTGATGGTGATGGTGGTGATGGTGGTGGTGGTGATGGTGGTGATGGTGGTGGTGGTGGAAGTGATGATGGTGGTGATGGTGGTGGTGGTGGTGATGGTGGTGATGGTGGTGGTGGTGGTGATGGTGGTGGTGGTGGTGATGGTGGTGATGGTGGTGGTGGTGGTGGTGATGGTGGTGGTGGTGGTGGTGGTGATGGTGGTGATGATGGTGGTGATGGTGGTGGTGGTGGTGGTGATGGTGGTGATGGTGGTGGTGATGGTGGTGATGGTGATGGTGGTGGTGATGGTGGTGGTGATGGTGGTGGTGGTGGTGATGGTGGTGGTGGTGGTGATGGTGGTGGTGGTGGTGATGGTGGTGATGGTGGTGGTGATGGTGGTGATGATGGTGGTGATGGTGGTGATGGTGATGGTGGTGGTGGTCATGGTGGTGGTGATGGTGGTGATGGTGGTGGTGATGGTGGTGATGGTGGTGATGGTGATGGTGATGCTGGTGATGGTGGTGGTCGTGGTGATGGTGGTGATGATGATGGTGGTGATGGTTGTGGTGATGGTGCTGATGGTGGTGATGGTGGTGGTGGTGATGGTGATCGTGATGATGGTGGTGATGGTGGTGATGGTGGTGGTGATGATGGTGATGGTGGTGGTGATGGTGGTGATGGTGATGGTGGTGATGGTGGTGATGGTGGTGATGGTGATGGTGGTGATGGTGGTGATGGTGGTGGTGGTGATGGTGGTGGTGGTGATGGTGGTGATGGTGGTGATGGTGATGGTGGTGGTGGTGATGGTGGTGATGGTGGTGGTGGTGATGGTGGTGATGGTGGTGATGGTGATGGTGGTGGTGATGGTGATGGTGGTGATGGTGGTGATGGTGATGGTGGTGGTGGTGATGGTGGTGATGGTGGTGATGGTGGTGGTGATGGTGGTGATGGTGGTGATGGTGGTGGTGGTGATGGTGATCGTGATGATGGTGGTGATGGTGGTGATGGTGGTGGTGATGATGGTGATGGTGGTGGTGATGGTGGTGATGGTGGTGATGGTGATGGTGGTGATGGTGGTGGTGATGGTGGCGATGGTGGTGATGGTGATGGTGGTGGTCATGGTGGTGGTGATGGTGGTGGTGGTGATGGTGGTGATGGTGATGGTGGTGATGGTTGTGATGGTGATGGTGGTGATGGTGGTGGTGGTGATGGTGGTGATGGTGGTGGTGGTGGTGGTGGTGATGATGGTGGTGATGGTGGTGGTGGTGATGGTGGTGATGGTGGTGATGATGGTGGTGATGGTGGTGGTGGTGGTGGTGATGGTGGTGGTGGTGGTGATGGTGGTGGTGGTGGTGGTGATGGTGGTGATGGTGGTGGTGGTGATGGTGGTGGTGGTGGTGATGGTGGTGATGATGGTGGTGATGGTGGTGGTGGTGATGGTGGTGGTGGTGATGGTGGTGATGGTGGTGGTGGTGGTGATGGTGGTGGTGATGGTGGTGATGGTGGTGATGGTGATGGTGGTGATGGTGGTGATGGTGGTGGTGATGGTGGTGATGGTGGTGGTGATGGTGGTGATGGTGGTGATGATGGTGGTGTTGGTGGTGATGGTGGTGGTGATGGTGGTGATGGTGGTGGTGGTGATGGTGGTGATGGTGATGGTGGTGATGGTGGTGGTGATGGTGGTGATGGTGGTGATGGTGATGGTGGTGATGG